CTATGAAATTTGGTTTTTATGTAATTACGTTACAGACTGTAGTAATTTTGGAAAAAGAATTAAATGTTGTTATTTTTATTTTAGAATAATAATTAAATATGATTTGTTTTATGTAATTGTGGTATAAACTGTAATAACTTTAGTAAAAAAAATTAAGTTTCGTTATTTTTGAATAATAATTAAATAATGACAATCAAAATGAAAAAATAATCCTTACAAATTGTAAAAAAGTTAATAAATTTTGTGATTTTCTATTGACTTCTTGGAATTTCGACTATTTTTTCTGTCGCATGGCTGTTGTCGTTGGTTGTCTTATGGTTTATTGTTTTGTGGTTGGAGCCTTATTACTATTGCTATTTGCTATTGTAGTTGTAATTGTAATTGTGAGATTTATTTGAAAACTATTGTATTGTTTATGCATTAAAATTGTTAGATACTATTGTAATTTGTATGTGATATTTATTTTTTATTTCGAATACACTTCAATTACTTTACTGTAAGTTCATAGTTAGGTGATTATTTCAACATAATGATAGTTACAGTTTTCAGCATAAACATAGGTGTAAGGAAACGAACTGCGCAAGCGCATTGTAACAAACATAACAAAAATGAACATTACTACACTAGTTAATTATTGAGTAGTCATCAAAAAAGTATACGTACGAGTATGTAAGTAATTTAACATAACGATTAAAACAGTTAAATGGAAAGTGAACAGTACTAATTTCATTATTTCAAACGAAATATGCAATCTGTCGGTTGCAATTGACGCAAAATAAAATAAAAACAGTCGACAACTCGATGAGAATATAAAACACATACATACATATGTTATTTTATTACGTTTATACATATGTGTTTATGCATTGCGCGCACTTTGTGACGCGCTTTTTTCATTTAAATGTAGATCTTAATAAAATATTGTATTTTAAGTGTTAAGTACAAGTTGCTACTCATTATTATGCTTACGGCATATTATTGATATTGTTGTTGTAGTTTGTAAGTAATTATGTAAGTAATTGTGGCTGTTGTTGGTTTTTGTTTTGAATTATTTCTGGCTTATTTAAATCTGCTTTAATTACTGGGCTATTGTAGGCTGGTATTTCGGGCTATTGCTGTTGGTTTTTACTGTTGTTGTTGTTGTGAACATTTTAAGACTGATCTATTAATTATATTGTTTCATTTATTTCATTTTGTTATTTTATGCTTTAATTAATATTATTTCTGCTGTTTGGTTGACTATTGTTTAACTATTGTAAGCAAATATCTATTGTAAGTATTGTTGGGTATTTTGTGGGCAAATCTACACATACGTTTATTGTACGCGTAGCTTAATGTTTTACAAGTGAGTAAAATGCTAATGATGGCTTAAAATGCGATTGCTTGTTGCTAAGTGAAAATTGCTCGATTTAATTGCAAATTAATAATTAATTCCATTCATTTTAATTTTTGCAGTTTTCGTTAAACGGTCGTAAGGAAGTCGCTGCCTAACGTCGTTTGCACTGCATTAACCACCGCGTACGGTAATGGCTGCACTTGACTAAGATGGCAGCTTGACAAAGAAATCGGCTGCAGTTGTCATTAAGTTCGGTTCGTGTTTGCATTTCGTTTGTGTTTATAGCGTAAAAAATAGTTAAATTCGTTGGAAAAATGTGCAAAATTTGTGCAATACCATGGCGATATTACCAAAAAACATGTGCGCTCAAAGTATGTTGAAGTGCAGAGATTATAAGTGTTTGCCGGCAGCTTATGTGCAACGCATCGTGGTGACGGCTGTTGTTTGTGATATTTGTTTTTTTTTGCTTGCAGTCATAGTTATTTGCTTGCACATCGACACCGTTATGCTATATGTCACATTTTTTGTGCTTTAATTCAATAATTTCTACGAAATTTCACGAAAATCTAAAATGTTATCAGGTGATGCTCAAAATGGCGGTACTCCTGTCAATTGGGCTTGTGCTTATATTCGAACGGTACATCGAGACGAACTGTATTAACAGTATTCTCTTTTGCTTCTGTAATTCACAAAAAGCTGAAACAGTTTGCTTCGAAAGCAGTTCCGATTAATCGGAGTTTTTTTTAAAATAACCGGTTGCGATTTTTGAAAAATTTGTAAAAATTTAAAAGTTAAAGGTTTTGAAAAAAGTTATAAAAAGTAAAAGTGAGTTAGCTTCGGAAAATTGTCGTGTTCGTGTAAAGTAATTGTATTTAATTAATTAAAAAGTGGTGCAAATATAAAGTGAAATGTTCGTTTCGGTCAATTGGTGTCTTGGCAAAATATAAAAAGTAAACTTTCGGCCAATGGTTGCATATGGGTAAAGAAATAAAATAAGCGGTTGTAATTATTTTATATGTAAAACAAATATAAAAAAGTGGTGAAGCGAAGTTAAAAAAAGTAAATAAAATAAAAACAACATTTAAAAAAATGTGATAAAAGCAGAGAGAAAAGAAAGATCGTAATTATTTGAAATATGTAAAAAATAAAAAGTTGTAGTGTTAGTGAAGTGAAGTATAAAAAATAAAATAAATATGTCAGAAAATATGATAAAAGCAGAGTATGAAAAATTATTAAATTTAGGCTAATCAATAGTTGTTAAAGTTCTGGCAATTAAAAAAATAAAAGTCGAAAAAATTATATTTAAAATAAAAAGCTAGTGAAATTATTTGAATTCAAAGCGTCAACAACAAAAACGTGCTCATGTGCAAGATATCCGCCTTTCGTCGCTTCTACGTAATTACGTATGTATGTATATCCGGTAAGTAATTACCAACTGCTTGTACTGCTTTGCCAACTGTGCGCGGTATTACTAGCGCAACTGCATGTAAACTACTTTATTACTCCAGCCATTTGCTACTGCAATCGCATTTTAATACCATCAACACATTTATATACTATCTTGTTTAAAATTTTTTCAATATTTATGGTTATTGCCAATCCGTTTACTGCTATTGTTGGTTTTTTTATTATTACTGTAGTCAATATTATTGACTTACATTACATATTTTGTTTTTTTTTTAATCGACTATTTCAATACAATATTTAAAAATAAAAACAATCGACTGTCGGCTGTATTTATATTAATTTCTTTGATTTGCAATCAATTATTTTTTATATAACATATTCAGTGTTGTTGTTTTATATTTTTGTGCGTGTGGAGAGGGAAGATTACTATTGTGGGTTTTGTTTTGTTTCTTATTTCTGTAAATTACCAATAGTTTTTCGGCTTTTTTGCGATTTATCCAATATATTTGTATATGTATGTATATAGTAGAATGTACATATGTATATATTGTGTAGATGGATATATATACAATACACAAAGCATTGCTATATATATTTGGGCTATTGCTCTTTTTCACTTATATGATTTGTTTTGTTTGGAAAATAAGCTGTTTTTACTATTGTTTGTTTAAGTTTTGCTGTTTGGTTTATTTTTTTATCTCTTTGAGTGTATGCTGTAATTAATTGGTTTAGTTGTATTTATGTATGTTGTTGCAATGTGCCTTATTACACAATTTTTAAGATTTGTTTTGTTTATTTAACGCTTTTATTTGGTAAATCTGGTCATCTTGGTATGTGTTTTAGTTTCACAGAGGGTATTAAAATAAAATGTTTGTTAAATTATGTTTACAAAATTTTTAACTGTTGTATTTATGTTTATATAAAAACGTTGTGTGCTAAAATAAAGTATGAAGAAATATTTTCTAAATATTTGCCAACAAAGAAAAATCTTCCTTCTTGCTTTGGGTCGATTTAATTATCGAAAGTGTGTGTGTTTTTGGTGAATATGCTGACAAAATATTTGTTTACATTTTTGAATACAGTAAATTTCACAAAATTTTTTTTTTAATTGTGGCATGTAGCAGATTTCTAATAATCTTGTTTTTTCGTAATCACCTTTTTTTTGTCTATTGAAATTATCATTTTACGCGCTTTTCGTCCTTTCTATATAGTTTTCTTTACCTTAACCGCAACTAAAGAGCTTACCATACGCTTATTTGGTAAACATCGGTTATTATATAAAAATTAATAAATAGTGTTTACACAAACAACTAAACAAGTCAGATCGTAATTACATTTGGTACACGAGGTCATTGCAACATTTTCAGTATTAATATTACAGTTTACTTTGCATTGCATTAAATGCGCTTACACAATTTTAACTCGTTTCATTCAAACAATATAGCAAATATAATAGATATCTAAATACAATACCTTTATTTGTAAAATAGAATGATTAATATTAATTTTATTTGGATTTTTCGTTTATTATGTGTAAAATATATATAAAAAAGTTTTTATTTTTTATTTGTTTTGTAATTATAAATATAGTAAATATAAATATGCGTTCTGCCATTCGCCGCTCACAGTCCAAAGGACCGTAACGCGCAATGCGAATTTTTTGATTTCAATTTCGCTTAACGTATGCAATATTGTTGTTGTTGGTAAATATCAACAATATAAATTGTAAATTTTAAAAATTATAGCAACATTTCACTTTGTTAAAAAATACAAAAAAGTCCTTTGAGTCCTTTTCTTTCATGTTTCAAAACATTTACACATAAAAAAGCGTTAATAAGATAATTAGAGAAAAATATTATTAAACAAAAACATTGCCATTAATGTTTCTATTTGAAAGTAAGAACGTGCTCACACGCTTAAAGATTTTCACTACTTTAATTCGTTTTTTAAAAAACAATTGCACTATAAATTCAATTTTGTCTATATATACATATAAGCAGCCCATTGCTTCGCCATCTCTGCCTTCTCCACTTCTAACCCTCTCTACACTGTAAAAAAAAAAAAAATTATGAACGGTTTGTAAGCATATACTATATTAACAGTAAACAATATATTATTTCGTGTTGTTGTTGCGCCAGAACGGGTAGGCATCATAGCAAATGCTCGAACAGAGAACAATTTTTTAAGGTGTTATGTCTTAAAAATTCATAATCAATAAAAAGTAGTAGAAAAATACATCCCGTTCAGTACAAATCACCCAAAATACTACAAAACCATTCCACGCGCAATATGTATGTATGTACGTAGCGAAATTTCTATGCAACTATGCGCTAGCAACTAAATTTTTTATTTATTAATATAATTATTTAGTTAAAAGTATTTAAGTTTTAAGTTTAAAAAATAAAATTATATGTAAAATTACGCGCTCATATCCTGTATGTGTATGTATGCATGTCGTACATTACAAAAACTGTATAAATTTCTATAACTGTGGGTCTGTAATTATGTACAAAACTGCGTGTTGAGGAGATGGTTGAAAAGAAAATAACGGCATTTACGACTTGTGGCTGCACACCAAGAACATTTCATCATTCCTGCACATGCAACACTCAGGCTCCTCAATTAGCAGTGTTCCACTCTCGCGCGCGCTCGCTCTCTTTCTATATCGCTAACACGTCTGCTCTGCTTACTAACTCTTTACAAATCTAACATTTTATTTAGCATTTTAAAATACAATATTTAAAAATATGGTAGTCAATCTTTTTTCTCTCCGAAAATAAAACACATACCTGAGGGATTTTACATACAATTTGCATTCTCTGCGCGCTCCTTCAAGCGCTCTTCCATTCATTCAGCCCTAAACGTACGCGTTTAGCCGTTTTCTTAACTTAATTATTAAATCAACTGTAGCTTAACTTGTCTTTTTGTCCCAATACTTGTCTGTGTGTGTGTGTTTTTTTTTGTTGCTTCAACTTGTATACCATAAGTTTTTGAAATCGGCCGGTAGTTGTTAGAGTCAATGGCGTAATTTGCGAGTTTTTTAGAAGTGGTAATTGAGGTTAGGTGCCATTTCCGGTAAATAAATATGTTAGAAAACTCGCGAAAAGCTTTTAGTTTGGAAAAATTTGTTTTTAAAACACAAGCAAAGCTCTTAGTTTGGAAAAATTTGTTTTGACAAGTTGCAGAAATAAGCTTTTCATAAACAAATTTGTTCTCGTTAAGTTCGAAAACTACTTTCGTGCTCTTTTATAACCCCTCCCACTGCCCTCTCGCAAATTTTGTTAGTGTGCTTTAACTCTTTTTGTATTCATTAATATGCTCTCAGTTTTGTAAGCTATGTATTCTCAGTTGATTTTTCAATGAGCGTAGCTTTGGCGCAACTTTGAGCGCATTTCTGCAGTATGTTTGTATGTCCGGTATATTTGTTTCTAGTTTCAACTCATTGCAACGCATAATTTTCTGAAATTAAGCTGTGAAATTATATTAATAATTTTTTAAAACAGTGTTTTTAAAATGTTGCTAATTAGAATGCATTTTTATACATAGTTTTACATACATTTTTTATATAATTTTCATTTATATTTATTTTAACTTTTTCATTTAATTTTATATTTGGTTCAATCAAAGTTCTAATTATACATTTGCTGCTAAATTTTCCCTATACGCAAATTTTAATATATATTTTTTTGTGTTATTATTCATTTATTTTTGGTTTTTTTTTTACTAACGAACATCATTTCACCATTTATTTTCCAAGTAATTGCACTTTTAATTTTGTTTATTTTTTGTTGATATTTTTGCTTTTATATTATTGTGTGGTTTTGAATATATTTTAAATATATACATATGTATGTATGTTGGTGTAAACACTTTTTGCATAAATTTTGCTGACTTTGCTTTCAAAAAGATTTTCAAAACAAATTTTTGTTTGCGCTTTTTAATTGGTCTAGCTGTGCAATTAATGAAATTTACTGTGTTTAATTGATTTTGGGACTTTTTGTATAAAATATTTGAAAGTAAACATACGTAATTAGTATTTTAAATTGAAACTAAATCATTTTTATACAATATTACTGTTTTCAAGGTTAAACATAATTTTTATAGCAAAGTTTTTTCTGCTATAATTTCAATTTTACGTCAAAATTACACCGAAAATTTGAAGCATAGAATGAAAAATATAAATTAATAATTTTTATAGCATATTTTTTTGCTATAATTTTAGCTTTAGGTCAAAAATTGCGCCAAAATTTTCATGCGAACATACATAGGTTTAAATAAGAGTTGTTATAGCAAAGTTTTTTTTTTTGAACTTTGCGTTGTTTATTTCGAACAACCTGTTATTTTTATTAATTTATATATTTGCTGTTTATTCTCAATACTACCAATTTTATTTCCTCTCTAGCAACAGTTTCACACTTATGTCCTCGCAGCATTTTTATATCATATACATATGTATACTATATACATATGTATGTATGTAAGTGGCTAATGTGATGTCTCCAATATATTAGTCCCATAACCGTTTGCGTTTTCAACATGCTTTTGTTTAGACTTTCTTCGCTTTCTTTTAACACTCCTCTTCGCTCAATTCCACTTTTCCTTTTACTTTCGCTTTCGCTTCTTATTTGTTTTCTTCACTTAATACTCCTCAACAGCTTCAATGCCAATCCTCTTGCGAATTTGCTGAATACTCATTTTTCGCATCAATAATTTTGGATTATAAATCACAGATAGTGTCTAATGAATGTATGTAATTTTTGTATATATAATAAATATGTTTCCGTGCATGTATGCACTGGTTTGTTTGTGGTAAATTTGAAATATAATTATAATAAAATTACTACATACGCAATAATTACATAAATATATGTATGTATGTATGTATGTACTTCTGGCCCTGATCTCGCTCAGATCGTGCAGCCTGACGCGGCGTCATGCGGTGAAGGTCCACATTTCGACTGTATGCATATGTGTCTGTATGTATGTGTGGTGTGGTCGAGTAGTCTTGGCTAAAACAGTTATTCGTTCAAAATTGTTGATCAATCGTTAGTTGTCAAAAGGTTGTCGTATGTAAACACGAATGTGACAAATGTTTTTTTGTCTCCAAAACAAAAAAAAAAAAAAAAGGCTTTATGGCCAAAAGTGAAAAAAGCGTTTCGGAATTGTTTACATAACATGTCTTTTACATGCGTTTTATGTTTATATGTATGTTTGTGTGTCAGTTATTTCTCTTGTGTATAAGTGTAGACTTTTAGAAAAATGCCAAAGTCTTTTCTGATTTTCTTAAATATTTTTTTTTTATAATT